AGTCACGCACACACACACACGTACACACACAACACACACAGACCACACAACCAGACTCTTGTGATGTTCCGTTGAGACTTATAATTCTACGTTTATATCTTTATGTCTTGATTTACCAACTCAAAAATAGAAGATTCAGCCTTTATCCTGAACACTTCTACTTCACTCATGGTCCCAATAACTCCTGTAAGAACACTTTCCAGAAAGCATTGCGGCCAACATAATACACGCACTAATGTATGTATATAGTGTCCCATCTACTGGAAATGCCGGAAATGCAGGAAAAAAAAACATCAACAAGGTTTATTATTGTCATTTATTCCAGTTCGGCGGCCGGATTAAAAGGTTTAAATGGCTGCATATGGCCTCCGGGCCGTAGTTTGCCCACCCCTGTCACAGGTCACAGGTCACAGGTCGGTCGCAGGTCACAGGTCGCAGGTCGCAGGTCACAGGTCACAGGTCGCAGGTCACAGGTCGCAGGGTCACAGGTCACAGGTCGTAGGTCGCAGGTCACAGATCACCTCGTAGATCCGCTCCTCGTGGCAGCGCAGGAAGTCCCAGATCCGGACGGTGCCGTCGTCGGAGCAGGTGGCGAACTTGTTGTCAGTCGGAGAAAAACTGAGAACAAAAAAACTAATAAATTAACACAAACAAACAAACAGAAACAAACAAACAGAAACAAACAAACAAACACACACACAAACAAACAAACACACACACAAACACACACAAACAAACAAACACACACACACACACACAGACGGTGGGTCAGTTTGTGTTGAACGTCTGGGTTCATACGAGACTCTTCCAGTGTGATGTGTAATGAAATAATACAGGACTCAACAAAAGTCAAATAAACTCAACTAAGTTTTATGTGGTGTTATACTCTACGGGCTATAGCGCACACAGGGTCAGGGGTCAGAGGTCAGGGGGTCACACCTTGCTTCCCGGATGGCCTCCTTGTGAGCCTGGAACATCTTGACGTTGTTCATGTTGCTCTGCCAGTATTTGACGTAGCCGTTGTTGTCGGCCGTCAGCATCCACATGTCGTTATGAGACCAGGTCATCGCCCGCACCGAGCTGTCGGTG